TCTCTCTCTCTCTCTCTCTCTCTCTCTCTCTCTGCCTGAGTGCGTCTTCTGAACCGAGTCAGGTTTATACGGAATGGGTTTTCATTTAAAACAGTCCAAATCAAACGCCTACATTACACATCGCTGGAATTTATTGTATGTGGGAATTTAATGCATTACAAAAATTCTGGACAGACGGACAGAAAAAAAAGTGGCTTCCAAAGCTGTCGCACCGGTGTTACAAATTCTTTTTCTTTTATAGCACAGACAGTTTTTTTCATAGCATGTGCGACATACATGTCGCACTACAGCCCTGAGACAGCAGACCTCCAGGGATGGATGAGATCTACCCTGATTTCTTTAAGGCTCTGAATGTTGTGGAACTGTTTTGGTTGACATGCCTTTGCAACATTGCATGGACATCAGGGACAGTGCCACTGGATTGGCAAACTGGGGTGGTGGTACCCCTCTTCAAAAAGGGGGACCGGAGAGTGTGTTCCATTTATTAGATGTCACTCTCCTTAGCCTTTAAGGTCTACTCAGGAGTGCTGGAGAAGAGAGTCGGATCAGTGGTTGAAGCACAGATTCAGGAGGAATAAAACAGGTTGTGCCCTTGCTATGGAACACTGGACCAGTCTCTATACAAGCGGTGAGCTTGATTTGCATTTCTAGCAGTAAGTTGGTCTCTGTCAGGGCTGCCTGTTGTCACCAATTCTGTTCATAACTTTTATGGACAAAATTTCTTGGTACAGCCAGGGGATGCAGGGATCCGGTTTGGTGGCCTCAGGGTTCCATCACTGCTATTTGCAGATGATGTGGTCCTGTTGATGTCGTGCCATGATATTCAGCACTCACTGGAGCAGTTCACAGCCAAGTATGAAGCAGCTGGGATGAGGATCAGCACCTCCAAATCTGAGTCCATGGTTCTCAGTTGGTAAATGGTGGATTGCTCTCTCTGGGCTGGGGGTGAGGTTCAGAGTACAGTGGAGGAATTAAAGTGTCTTGGGGTTTTTTTCAAGAGTGAGGGAAGAACAGAGCGGGATATTGACAGATGAATTGGTGCGGTTTCTGTAGATTTGCTATCTCTGTTGTGATCAGTTGTGGTGAAAAGAGAGCTGAGCTGTAAGGCAAAGTTCTCTGTTTACCAGTAGGTCTACGTTCCTACGCTCACCTATGGCCACGAACTTTGGGTGGTGACCAATAGAACATGATCACTGATACAGTAGATTGAATTAAGTTTTCTCTGAAGGATAATTGGATTCTCCCTTAGAGATAGGGTGAAAAGTTCAGTTATCTGAGAGAGACTTGAGAGGAACCAGTTGAGGTAGATCAGGCATCTGGTAAGAATGCCTCCTAGAGGCGTTCCAGGTATGTCAGACTGGAAGGTAACCCCAGGGAAGACCTAGAATACAATGGAGAGACCATATCTCTCGGCTGGCCTGGGAATGCCTTGGAATCCTCTCAGAAGACCTTGAAGAAGTGGCTGGAGAAAGAGATTTCTGGTCCTCCCTGCTAAAGCTATAGCCCTCACAATTGGATGCCAGAACAAGCGGAAGATGAATCAAAATACATGCATTGATTATGAACAGAATAAAAACATTATGGCTACATTWTTCCATTTCATTGAAGCATTTGATCATTTTTTACATACCTTCTACTTTGATGATGTTAGGTTGGAATGTAACATTGTAGGTGGCATTGGTATTAGTCACAGCATCTACTAAGGTTTGTTGAACTTCTGCAGCTGCTGGGATTTGGACGGCTGGTGTGGTTTGATTAAACGCTATGGTCACATTTGCTTCAGTACCATTCAAACGTAGTATGACTTGACTAAAAGAAATTTATACACAAAGAACATAAAAAAATCAAGAAATATGTCAAAAATGACAAGATTATAATATAAATGATTATATTCTCTGATTATTGATGGTATGCAGTGTACAACAAAAATCAACATTACTTGATTTGTAAAGAGTAAATAAATGAGCTTTAAGATAAAACTGTACCTAAATGCAAGGACATAACAACCCATGTAGGTTTGAGGGTATTTTGGACGGTAGATGGCATCATACTGTGAAAAACCAGATAAGGCAAACATGAGACCAAAAGAAACAGAGGAACATGTAAAACAAAATAGAGCCCATGTATACTACATAACAAGAATCTGTCAAAATGATGCTTACCGTGGCACACACTCTTTTGGCAAGATCTTTGAAAGGTTTGCTGTTACGATCATTGAGTTGATCAACAAATGGTTCTACAATAACAGCTGCAACAGTATAGTTTTGAAAAGGGGGTTGAGGTGTTGTTATTATAGCAGTTGTGGTAGGACCGGTAAAAACTGTAATGATTGTGTTTGCTGTAGTTGCTCTTGTGGTAGCTGAGGTTGTATTAGTTGTGGTATCAGTTTTGGCAGCTATGGATGCTGTTGCACTAGTGGTGGTTGCTCTGTTAGCTGTGGTCATTGTTTCAGCAGCTGTAGTTGTGGTTGAAACAGCTGTGGTTGCTACTGATGCAGATATGGTTGTTGTTGGGGCAGTTGAAGTTTCATTTGTGTTAGCTGTATTTGATGTGTTAGCTGTAGTTGTGGTAGTTGTGATTTTTGTTGGTGAAACTGTAGTTTCTGTTGAGGAAGCAGTGGTTGTTGAGTTAGGTGTATTTGTTGTTGGGGCAATTGTGTTTGCAGTTGTGGCATGTGTAGTTTCTGTTGGAGCAAATGTGGTGGTAGTTGCAGCAGCTGTGCCTGATGAAGCAGCTGTGAGGGAGATTGCTGCAGCTCTGGTTGATGTAAGGTTAGCTGTGGATGCCATGTTATTTGTTGCAGCAGCTGTTGTTGTTGGAGCAGATGTCTTTGTTGGAGAAGCTGTGGTTGTTGTTGTAGCAGCTATAGTTGTTGGAACAGAAGTTCTTATTGTTGGAGCAGCTGTAGTTCTGTTTGTAGCTGTTGTTGATGTTGTAGTAGCTGTTGATATTGTAGCAGCTGTTGTCTTTGTTGTAGCAGCTGTTGTTGGTGAAGCTGCTGTAGCAGTTGTTGGAGCACCAGTACTTGTGGTTGGGGAAGAAAGAGTTGTGGTTGAAGCAACAGTAGTTGTGGATGGAGAAGCAGTAGCTGATCTAGCAGCTGTAGATGTTGTACTTGGAGAAGCCATAGTTGTTGGAGCAGCTGTAGTTGCTGCCGTTTGAGCAGCTGTAGTTGTGGTTGGAGCAGGTTTAGTTGTTGTGGGAGCAGCAGTAGTTGTTGTGGAAGCAGCTGTAGTTTTGGTTGGAGCAGCTGTAATTGTGGTTGCAGCAGCTGTAGTTGTGGTTGGATTAGCTGTAGTTATGGTTGGAGCAGCTGTTGTTGTTGTTGGAGCAGCTGTAGAGATTGCAGCAACTTTTGTTTGAGCAGCTGTAGTTGTGGTGGGAACAGCAGTAGTTGTGATTGGAGCAGCTGTGGAGATTGCAACGACCTTTGTTTGAGCAGCTGTAGTTGTGGGAGCAGCTGTTGGTTTGGTTGGAGAAGCTGTACTTGTGGTTGGAGCAGCAGTAGTTGTGGTTGGAGAAGCTGTGGTTGTGGTTGGAGCAGCTGTAGCTGTGGTTAGAGAAGGTGTAGTTGTGGTTGAAACAATTGTAGTTGTGATTAGAGCAACTGTAGTTTTGGGTGGAGCAGCTGTAGTTGTGGTGGGAGCAGCTGACGTAGTTGTATAAGGTGTAGTTGTGGTGGGAGCAGCAGTAGTTGTGGTTAGAGCAGCTGTAGTTTTGGTTGGAGCAGCTGTTGTGATTGGAACAGCTGTAGTTTTGGTTGGAGCAGCTGTTCTTGTGATTGGAGCAGCTGTAGTTGTGGTTGGAGCCGCTGTGGTTGTTGTTGGAACAGCTGTGGTTGTTGTTGGAGCAGCTGTGGTTGTTGTTGGAACAGCTGTGGTTGTTGTTGGAGCAGCTGTGGTTGTTGTTGGAACAGCCGTGGTTGTGGTTGGAGCAGCTGTATGGGTTGTTGGTGAAGCTGTGGTTGATGTTGGAAATGCTGTAGTTGTGGTTGGAACAGCTGTAGATGTGGTTGAAGAAGTTGTTGTTTTCATAAGAAGAGCTTTAGTTGTGTTTGGAGGAGATGTATTTGTTGGAGCAGATTTAGATGTGGTTGCAGCAGCTGTGCTTGTTGAAGCAGCTGTGCTTGTTGAAGCAGCTGTAGTTGTGTTTGGAGCCGCTGTAGTTGTGGTTGTAGCAGCTGTCATTGTTGTTGAAACAGATTTTGTTGTTGTTGTAGCAGCGGTGGTTGTGGTTGGAGCAGCTGTAGTTATAGTTAAAGCAGCTGTGGTTGTTGTTGGAGCAGCTGTGGTTGTTGTTGGAGCAGCTGTGGTTGTTGTTGGTGCAGCTGTGGTTGTTGTTGGTGCAGCTGTGGTTGTTGATGACGCAGCTGTGGTTGTTGTTGGAGCAGCTGTAATTGTGGTGGTAGCAGCTGTGGTTGGGGTTGGAGAAGTTGTTGTTGTGCTTATAGCAGCAGTGGCTGTGGTTGGAGATGCTGTGGATGTGGGTGAAGAAGCTGTTGTTGTTGGAGCAGCTGTGGTTGTTGTTGGAGCAGCGTTTGTTGTGGTTGGACTAGTTGTGGTTGTTGGTGCAGCTGTTGTTGTTAGAGCTGCTGTAGTTGTGGTTGGCGCAACTGTGGCTGTTGTTGGTGCAGCTGTTGTTGTTGTTGGATCAGCTGTTTTTGTGATTATAGCAGCTGTGTTTGTAGTAGCTGTAGATGTGGTTATAGCAGCTGTGCGTTTCATTGAAGTAATTGTAGATGTGGTAGCAGAAGCTGTGATGTTTGTTGGAGCAGCTGTAGTTGTGGTTGGAGCAGCTGTGGTTGTGGTGGGAGCAGCTTTGGTTGTTGTTGCAGCAGCTGTAGTTGTGGTGGGAGCAGCTGTGGTCATGGTTGTAGTAGTTGAAGATGTGGTTGGTACAGCTGTAGTTGTGGTTGGAGCAGCTGTGGTTGTTCGAGCTGCTGTAGTTGAGGTTATAGCAGCTGTGGTCGTGGTTGGAGCAGATGTAGTTGTGGCTGGAGGAGATGTAGTTGTGGTTGGAGCAGCTGTGGTTTTTGTTGGAGCAGCTGTAATTGTGGATATAGCAGCTGTGGTTGTGGTTGGAGCAGCTGTTGTTGTTGGAGCAACTGTACTTGTGGTTGGAGAAGCTGAAGTTGTGGTTGGAGCAGCTGTTGTTGTGGTAGGAGCAGCTGTGGTTGTTGTTGGAGCAGCTGTAGTTGTGGTTATTGCAGCTGTGGTGGTGGTTGGAGCAGCTGTGGTTGTTATTGGAGCAGCTGTGGCTGTAGTTGGAGCAGCTGAGGTTGTTGTTGGATTAGCTATAGTTGTTGTTAGAGCAGCTGTAGCTGTGGTTATAGCAGCTGTGGTTGTTGTTGGAGCAGCTGTAATTGTGGTTATTACAGCTGTGGTTGTGGTTGGAGCTGCTGTGGCTGTAGTTGGAGCAGCTGAGGTTGTTGTTGGATTAGCTATAGTTGTTGTTAGAGCAGCTGTAGCTGTGGTTATAGCAGCTGTGGTTGTTGTTGGAGCAGCTGTACTTGAGGTTGGAGAAGCGGCAGTTGTGGTTTGAGCAGCTATTGTGGTGGCTGGAGGAGATGTAGTTGTGGTTGGAGGAGAAGTAGCTTTTGGAGCAGCTGTGGTTGTTGTTGGTGCAGCTATAGTTGTGGTTACTAAAGCTGTGGTTGTAATTGGAGCAGCTGTATTTGTGGTTATAACAGCAGTGGTTGTAGTTGGAGGAGCTGTAGTCGTGGTTATTGCAGCTAAGGTTGTGGTTGGAACAGCTTTAGTTGTGGTTGCAGTAGCTGTGGTTGTTGTTGGAACAGCTGTAGTTGTGGTTATAGCAGCTGTGGTTGTGGTTGGAACTGCTGTAGTTGTGGTTGGAGCAGCTGTGGTTATTGTTGTAGCAGCTGTAGTTGTGGTTGTAGCTGTTGTTGTTGTTGGAGTTGCTGTAGTTGTGGTTACAGCAGCTGTTGTTGTGGTAGGAAATGCTGAAGATGTGGTTGGAAATGCTGAAGATGTGGTTGGAACAGCTGTAGTTGTGGTTGGAGAAGCTGTGGTTGTTGTTGTAGCAGCTGAGGTTGTAATTGGAGCAGCTGTAGTTGTGGTTGGAGGAGATGTAGCTTTTGGAGCATCTGTGGTTGTTGTTGGAGCAGGTGTGGTTGTGGTTTGAGCAGCTGTAGTTGTGGTTGACAAAACTGTAGTTGTGATAGGAGCAGCTGTTGTTGTATTTGGAGCAGCTGTGGTTGTATTTGGAGCCGCTTTTGTTGTTGTTGGAGCAGCTCTAGTAGTGGTTATTGCAGCATTGGTTGTGGTTGGAACAGCTGTAGTTCTGGTTGGAGCAGCTGTAGTTGTGGTTATAACAGCTGTGGTTGTGGATGGAACAGCTGTAGTTGTTGTAGGAGCAGCGGTGGTTGTTGTTGGAGCAGCTATAGTTGTGGTTGGAGCAGCTGTGGTTGTTCGAGCTGCTGTAGTTGAGGTTATAGCAGCTGTTTTCGTTGTTGGAGCAGGTGAGGTTGTGGTTGGAGCCACTGTAAATGTAGTTGGAAAAGATGTATTTGTGGTTGGAGGAGATGTAGCTTTTGGAGCAGCTGTTGTTGTAGTTGGAGCAGCTGTAGTTTTGTTTATAACAGCTGTGGTTGTGGTTGGAGCAGCTGTAGTCGTGGGTATTGCAGCTAAGGTTGAGGTTGGAGCAACAGTGGTTGTTGTTGGAGCACCTGTATTTGTAGTTATAGCAGCTGTGGTCGTGGTAGGAGTAGTTGCAGTTGTGGATGGAGAAGCAGTGTTTATTATTGGAGCAACTGTAGTTGTGGTTATAGCAGCTGTGGTTATGGTTGGAGCTGCTGTGGTTGTTTGAGCTGCTGTAGTTGAGGTTATAGCAGCTGTGGTCATGGTTGGAGCAGCTGAGGTTGTGGTTGGAGCAGCTGTAGTTGTGGTTGGAGCAGATTTAGTTGTGGTTGGAGCAGATGTAGGTTTTGGAGCAGCTGTGGTTGTTGTTGGAGCAGCTGTAGTTGTGGTTATTGCAGCTGTGGTTGTAGTTGGAGCAGTTGTGGTTGTGGTTGGAGCAGCTGTGGTTGTTGTTGGAGCAGCTGTAGTTGTGGTTATAGCAGCTGTGGTTGTTGTTGGAGCAGCTGTGGTTTTTGCTGGAGCAGTTGTAGTTGTGGTTATTGCAGCATTGGTTGTGGTTATTGCAGCATTGGTTGTGGTTGGAACAGATGTAGTTGTGGTTGGAGTAGCGGTGGTTGTTGTTGGAGTTGCTGTAGTTGTGGTTGGAGCAGCTGTGGTTGTTCGAGCTGCTGTACTTGGGGTTATAGCAGCTGTGGTTGTTGTTGGAGCAGCTGAGGTTGTGGTTGAAACAGCTGTAGGTGTGGTTCGAGGAGATGTAGTTGTG